AGAACGTTTGTTGGATGTGTCACAGTCTGATTAACTTCTCTCCAAACACGCTTAGCTTCCTCTGTGGTTTGATTATATCTCCACCTGTCAGACATTAAATCACAGCATGGTCGTTTTATCAAAGACAATAATTTATTATCAGGACAACAATCATTGTAAGGATTGTACACGGCTGTGAACTCCAAGAGACCAGCTTCTCATCACTGAACCTGGAGGATATCAGATCACACTGTACATATGTAATATACAGTACAATATGAACATGTCCTTTAAGAACTTGTTTGGCACTTGTTGTCATGGAAACGGGAAAGGTGAATAGTGCGTCCATGTGACACCTTCAGCTGAGAAAGAGCAGTGATCATCTTCATCATCAGGTTAAAGGTCCACACTGCCAACTAGTGTTTAAACAGTGAATGTGCACAGCGATGTAAAACACACCTGCACACAGGTATGAAAACAGACAGCAGTGTAGGCCACAGGTAGGCTCAGTGAAGATTAGACATACAAACAGAAACCAGGTTTAAGACTCCGAGAGAGAGGTTATAAAAATAAAAAACAAGTTACGGTGAATCAATATACATTCAATTAATAAACACTCATCCTGTCTGTCCTGCAGCACTGTCATGTCCAAACTGCGGGCTCTCTGTTGCTACCCTGCAGCCACATTGTGTCTTTCCTGCAGTCTTGTTGTGTTTGTCCTACAGCCACATTGTGTCCACCCTGCAGTCTTGTTGTGTTTGTCCTGCAGCCACATTGTGTCCACCCTGCAGTCTTGTCTTGTCACACGTAAGCAGAGTCAACCGACTGAGTGCGAGCAAAGCTGGGCATACTCCTCCGGGGCAGGTCTTTGTTCCGGATCTCGTAGATGGACTTCCTGCGGGCCTGCACGCCTCTCACCGCAGTCTTTATCTTCCTCCAGCCCAAGTGGTTGAGCTCGGCCAGGTTCAGGACCACACAGATCCCACTGACTGCGAACATGAAGACCAGAAACACGGTCTTCTCTGTGGGCCTGGACGTGTAACACTCTACATCTTTAATGCACGGGTATCGATCACACTCGTACACCGCCGGGACGGTGAATCCATACAGGAAGTACTGACCCACCAGGAAGCCAATCTCCAGGGCGTTCCTGAACACCACCTGGATGATGTAGAATCTGGAGATGCCCTCCTGCCGCCTCATCTTAGACTTGGTGTTCCTCAGTGGGGGGTTGGGGATGTCTTTGACCTCCAGGCAGTCAGGCTCCGCCTCCTTGTTGGAGTTCTCTGTATTCTGCAGGACGCCATTCACGATGGTGTTCTTGATCTTTTTGCTGTTGTCCCTCTTGGGGTCGTTGTCTCTGTCCAGAGACAGGTATACGCTGGAGTAGCCGCGCTCCTTCTGCTTGGCAGACTGGTGCACGGAGTAGGTGATGAAGCAGAGGCTGGGGCAGCACACCATGATGATCTGGAACACCCAGTACCTGATGTGTGAGATGGGGAAGGCCTGGTCGTAGCAGGCCTGGTTACATCCAGGCTGTAGGGTGTTACAAACGAACATGGACTGCTCGTCGTTATAGACTGTCTCTCCAACAATCGCCACGACCAGGATCCTGAAGATCACCACCACCGTCAGCAGGATCCTAAGGGAACATAGAAGAGGTTTGCATATAAATGTTTAGCCAATGTAAACTTAGCATCTTAGCTAATGTTAGCTTTATGGACATGTGATTATTCAGGGAAGAGCTGACTTTGCACTGCACCACACAACATGTGTACTGATTATGTCATTTCTCCATAAAAGTATTTTCTATATAAACGGTTTAAACTGAAGTCATTGTGAGAGAAAGTCTCCTGCGAGTCACCTGAGGCTGGTGACTCGCAGTCTCGCTCATTCACGTTCAGTCAGTGTTTCGTTCACTGAACGTTCTGAGAGGGAGAGAGTGACTCGGAGGCTGAGCTCCTACGTGAATCACTGAACGAACTGAGAGGAAGAGCGGAGCTCTCGTTCAGTTCGTTCAGTGAACGAACTGAACTGAACTACTGAGAAGTACTGAACGATTCGGTGAACGAATCTTTTGAATGAATCACTTTACTGAACTGATTCTACTGATTCAGTACACTGAAAAGAATTGCTTTTCCCATCACTATTTGTCACTGCTTCAGAAGATAACGTAACCTTTCTCTGTTATATGTTGTAACTGTGTGTTGTGATAAATGTTGGAGCTATATATATGAAAACAGACCATGTTCACTCAGACTGACTGAGGCTGAATCATTCATTTAAAAGACATGAGGAAATACTTTCAGCTTCCAGGTTTGAAAAAGATTTATTTAGTTCATGTTGTGTCCCGTGATGCTTTGCAGCATTCACACTGTGTGATCAATTAAACATTAAATGTAATAATAAAGAATTTTTAATTTCAGCAGAGTCTCAGAGCAGCTCCAGGTTCATGGAGCTCTGGGGGCGGAGATGTCCAGTCATGAGCCTACCCCTTCAGGCTGAACTTGCTCCACCCCTTCATCAATGATATACAACATACTCATTGTCTTTACTTCTACATCAAACATACACCTGAGTCCTCTCACCTGTTTAAACACAGCCAGGTTTCTGTAAAAATACCTACATAAATATCAACACAACACGAGTTTCTCTCTTTTCTCTCTCCATTCCTACCTGCCGATCATGGTGGAGTGCTGTTGGACCGCCGCCTCCAGGAGACGCTCCAGGATGGTCCACTCCCCCATGACTGATCATCCGGAGCTGGCTCAACTCAGACGGAGAAAACTGGAGAAAGAATACTTAAAGTATCCAGGAAAGAAAAACTAAAAATATCCCCCCAAAGAAATGAAAATACCCTGAAAAAATCCTGCTCTACTGAGCCTGAGAGCTCCGACTGCCTCCACTCACTGTACAGAGTGTGTGTGTGTGTGTGTGTGTGTGTGTGTGTGTGTGTGTGTGTGTGTGTGTGTGTGTGTGTGTGTGCAGCTCAGTCATAATCCCTCTTTAAGTAGAATCAGAGGGGGAGGAGACACATACAGCCACACGTCATCCATTCATCTACACTCATTCATCCACTGAGACAACCTCTATCCATCAACCATACTGAAGTGCACCTGCTTCATATTGACGCATCACCATGGTAACAACCTGTCAATCACAGGTAGCCCTGCACTAACCTTTCCCCCCTTCCTGCTCTCTCTAATTGGGCCATGATTTACTAAATGAACATCATGCTGTGTTGAAGAAGACTAGTGATTGAGACCATAAACTCGTGAGGAAAATGTTTACTGAAATCATCTGACAGGGAGGAGGGTTTTAACTTCTGTAGAATCATACGCCCCTTGTGCTGGACGGTGGTGAGAATGCAGATTTAAAACAAAGCGGTGACCTGGCCTTCTTCTCCTCTAACCTTCCACACTCAAAGAAATTAACTCAATGTCAGTCAACAGGAGCATATTTACACTGAGCATGTGCCTGAGAGCTCCGACTGCCTCCACTCACTGTACAGAGTGTGTGTGTGTGTGTGTGTGTGTGTGTGTGTGTGTGTGTGTGTGTGTGTGTGTGTGTGTGTGTGTGTGTGTGTGTGTGTTGAGTCCGCAGTCTAAGCTGTTCTATATGTGGTCCAGGGACAGGGAAAGATACACTTAAACAGATTATCATATACACACACACACACACACACACACACACACACACACACACACACACACACACACACACAGATTTGTATCAGGTTTGCAGATAAAACAAAACGGTGAAAACTGCAGGCGAGGACGTTATGACACTAATTTTCCTCAGGGATTAATAAAGTATATCAAAAAATTAAAATTAAAAAAAAAAGTGGAATCAAAGTTTTCTCTCACAGAGAATCTAAACTGAATCTCTGACTCTCTGCATGTCAGAGATTTGTTGTGGAGATCTGAGAGGTAATGTTGGTGACCAGTCCAATGATATGAGGCTTGTATCAAACAACAAAGAGCACAAATCAATTTCTAATTCATTACATGACATCAAACATAAACACATAAACAAACAAACAACCAAACAGAAAAACAAACAGACAGACAAACAGAAAAAACATTCCTCACGTTCCTGTTGTCCACACTTCCTTACCGCTGAGGTGGAGGTCAGAGCAGGAGGTGCATGAACGTGTATGTTCCTTCAGCTGAAGATCGATAACCACGGAGACGTTTCAATTAATGAACCATACAACAATTTAAAGCTCTGAACATAACCTGTTCCTTTACACATGAGAAGATAAGAGTTAGTGACCACGGTGATCTGTCCGGGTGATGAGCTTAAAGTCAGTTACCATGGTGATCTGTCCGGGTGATGAGTTTAAAGTCAGTTGCCATGGTGATCTGTCCAGGTGATGAGTTTAAAGTCAGTTACCACAGTGATCTGTCCGGGTGATGAGTTTAAAGTCAGTTGCCATGGTGATCTGTCCAGGTGATGAGTTTAAAGTCAGTTACCACAGTGATCTGTCCGGGTGATGAGTTTAAAGTCAGTTGCCATGGTGATCTGTCCGGGTGATGAGTTTAAAGTCAGTTACCATGGTGATCTGTCCAGGTGATGAGTTTAGAGTTAGTTACCATGGTGATCTTACCAGGTGATGAGCCTCTTAAAGACAGTTACCATGGTGATCTGTCCAGGTGATGAGTTTAAAGTCAGTTCCCATGGTGATCTGTCCGGGTGATGAGTTTAGAGTCAGTTGCCATGGTGATCTTTCCGGGTGATGAGTTTAAAGTCAGTTACCATGGTGATCTTTCCGGGTGATGAGTTTAAAGTCAGTTGCCATGGTGATCTGTCCGGGTGATGAGTTTAAAGTCAGTTGCCATGGTGATCTGTCCGGGTGATGAGTTTAAAGTCAGTTGCCATGATGATCTGTCCAGGTGATGAGTTTAGAGTTAGTTACCATGGTGATCTTACCAGGTGATGAGCCTCTTAAAGTCAGTTACCATGGTGATCTATCCAGGTTTCAAGAGCATCAGCTTCAAAAACACAATGAACACACTTTATTAGTTTAAAATTAATTTAATAATGTGTCAAAAATATCAGACATGTTTAAGCTTGAAGAAAAACTCACATAAAGTGTGAGCCCCACACATACATACACACACACACACACACACACACACACACACACACACACACACACACACACACACACACACACACATCAGTTCAATCACATCACACAATGTTCGACTGTAACACAGAGCACAGAGACACCTGAGGAACGATCTCAGAAGAAAACATAGCAGTGAGATATAGACAAAGTAATAAAGGTGAGATAGAGACAAAGACAAATCGAATGGAGACACAATACACACAAAACATGATGGACATGACACACACACACTGATCTCAGGTTAGAAACATAAATACTGATCAACACAAACAGCTGAGTTTCAGTCAGTGTTAAAAGATGTTACAGAAAGACGTCCAGCTTTCTTTCTCTCTACATGATGACATCATGATGAAGGTTGGGCCTCTCGTTTATAAATACAGGATTATAAAGGAGATTCATGGAAACACAGATATTATTCAGACAGAGTAGTGGTAACTGTTGATCAGCTGACGTGTCAGGATAAAGGAGGGTTAGAGGGTTTAGTGTAACAGTTGTCTTCTGTTTCTTCAGGCGTCATGACAAGTCAGTCTGCAGGTCCCGACTAGATCAGACCTGACAGAGTCCACGTTACTGGATCCTGAAGGACTCGTCTTTACTTAGAATACTTGAGAGCGAGCTGCAGAGCAGATCAGACAGTGTCAGACATGTTTTATAACCTCCATCAAAGACGATGAATTCATATTTAATCAAAATAATAATGTATTGAAGTATCCATGAGTCACCTTGTGCGCCGTGTCTGCAAACTGCTGAGCTCGGTGCATCAGATCCACAGTCTTATCTTCAGCTCGACTCAGCCTGTCTCCTCTCTCCCCCAGAGCCACGTTCATCCTCTGAACTACATTACCCATAGTTCCACCTGACACACGCGGCCTCGTTGCACCTGTTCAAACACAGAAACAATCAATGGAGAAGACTTCACCAAGAGCATAAAATCATGAAAGAAAGGGACGTCAACAAACAGTAGTGACTAAGGGTTCTCGATGGTCCGATGCAGAGGTCGGGTGTCTATTTGAAATTTATCCAGATGCAAAAATTCAGTCAGCTCAATATAACCCACAAGAACTCTGTGGTTTTTGGGAAAATCCGCGACTATCCAGTTTTTTTTGTTTTTTTTTAAAGATTTATTTTTGGGCTTTTGTGCCTTTATCAGAGAGACAGGAAAGTGGATAGAGTCGGAATTCAGGGAGAGAGAGAGAAGGGGGATTGACATGCGGGGAAGGAGCCACAGGTTGGTTTTGAACCTGGTTCGCCCGCCTGGAGGACCATAGCCTCCATACATGGGACGAGCGCACTAACCACTGTGCCACCAGCGCCCTGACTGTCCAGTTTTACGACGTGATGATGTATGTAGAAGTAACCGTGCTCAGGCCTGGTTAGTTCTGGTACAGTGCGAGTGAATGGGGAGGGGTACAACACGGTACAGGGTAACTGGGCCTTATGTGAGTGCTTCATTCAAAGACTTCATGTCAACGACAGGAGAGTTCCATAAAGTTCAGTCTGATGGAGCGTGTTGCAACATGCCCATACTCAGAAATATGAAGGTTACTGTGTCCCTGCAGCTGACAGCTCTAAAAGGGTCTGAGGCACTGCAAACAAAATAAACACTGAACTATCATCCAGACACAAACACACTCAGTCCTTTAAAGCAATGTGTGTGCTATAGTGATATCTAGTGGTGAGACTGCAGATTACAACCAGCAGTCAACAGAGTAATTTTATTAAACAGGTAGAAAACATAATCATCTGACCCTCTGTTCATTTAAATCAGTTACTGAGCAGAACCGTCCTGAATCAGCTGTTTTTAACTTCAACAGCAAAACTGCTGCAAGTCAAACTCTCATCCCCTGATCTCACAGGTCACAGGTCGTCTGAGGTTACTGTGGACCTGTGACTCGTGTTGACTTGGTGACCTGCTGCAGCATCACTCTGCATGATGATCGGTACTGTCTCCATCAGTCCAGACGTCAGAGGGTTCAATGAGAGCCGCTCCCCATCACTCCCTGCTCCTCCAAAAGACTCACTATTGTACTAAAAACACACAAAGTGTCGTCTGATGTGACCGCTGACACAGAGACGCCTTTGTGCTGCCGCTCAGAGACACAAAGGACAAACACAGAGACCAAGCGAAGAGAGAAACACCCAGAGAGACAAACTGAGGATGATATGACCTGAACAAACAGAGACAGACTAAAAACACCCAGAGAGACAAACTCAGGATGATATGACCTGAACAAACAGAAACAGACTAAAAACGGACTGGGTGGCAGTAGCTCAGTCTGTAGGGACTTGGGTTGTGAACCGGAGGGTCCTGAGCAATGCCGAGGTGCCATTGAGCAAGGCACTGAACCCCCTCCCCACCATCAGCTCCGGAGCACCCGCTGTGGGCTGCTCCGTCACTCTGACATCTCTCCATTAGTGCACGTCCATAGGATTCTGTTTCTGCATGTGTGTGTATATTTCAGCCTATGTGTGTGTTCATGACTTACAGAGTGTAAAAACTGAAATTTCCCATTGCGGGGATCAATAAAAGTAAATCTTAATCTTAACACTCAGAGACAAACTCAGGATGATATGACCTGAACAGAGACAGACTAAAAACACCAAAGAGACAAACTCAGGATGATATGACCTGAACAAACAGAGACAAACTAAAAACACCCAGAGAGACAAACTCAGGATGATATGACCTGAACAAACAGAGACAAACTAAAAACACCCAGAGAGACAAACTCAGGATGATATGACCTGAACAAACAGAGACAAACTAAAAACACCCAGAGAGACAAACTCAGGATGATGTGACCTGAAGAAGTTTTCCTCCATGGTACTTCCTCTGACATGATGAAGCAGCTCTACAGAGGACTCTTACAGCTATGATCAGAAGTATTCATCACATCCTTACCTCCAGCTGCTGAGCGACTCTGGTTTGCTACCATCCTGTTCTTGATGCGGTTCAGGAAGGCTCTGCAGCGGAAGATGAGCAGATTCATGGTGCAGGCGTCTGAAGGAGCAGAGAGCAGATGTTAGAACCTGGATCATCCCAGCACACAGTATTCTGACAGTCCGACTCTACCTCCGGTCAGTTTGGACTGGCAGTTGATGAACTCTGTCTGTTTAGGTGGGACATAGCTCTTGCGTCGGGCCTGCATGGTTCTGGATGCAGGTCCAGGTGGGGTGTCCCTGGATCCCACCTCCTGCAGAGCTCTTTGACCTGGTTTCACCTGGCGGCCCACCTTTCCAAGACTCCCTGCTCTCCCCTCCCAGTACGTCTGACAGGCGTGGTACAGGATCTGAACAAAGATACACTTCTCTGCAGAGGAGCGGGCCACCCATTGGTCCTGGGTGTTATCAAAGACCAGGTCAAACTCGGGACTGTCCTGGAGCAGCAGGGAACAGAGAAAGTCCTCACACTACAGGATCTATTTATCTGACTCTTTACTGTATAATCTTATTCTTACTCCAGAAACACAAAGATCTCAGACCCTCTAACCCTAACGAGCCAGTTATCCAGCAGGTAGTGAATCAGGTGAAGAGGTACAAAGAGGGAGAACCTCCATTGAGGGTGGTGGTGGTGGGAGGCGATGGATGGGTCAAAAACACACCTGAGTGAACAGGATTTTACTTATGTGTAACGATGAGTCCATATTGTGTTGTTATAGGCCTGTCAAACATTTTTAAATAGTGATGAATCTTTCTTTTGCAAAAGTGACTTAAACTGATAGTGGACTCTGTAGGGGCTGTGAATGAGGGTTACCTCGAAACAGACTCTTGCTAATGAACTGATATGAGATTCTGAAGGGGCTGTGACAGAGCATCAGACCATCATGGGTGAGAGAGGATTTTTAAAAAGGTTTGAAGGAAAAGTTGCGCTAAACATTTTATAAAGGAGATATCAGACAAACTGCAGAGATCTGTCCATAGAGCTCTATGAGTGAGATCAGAGGAAGTGGAAGCTGCTGACCTTGTTGGGGTTGATGCCGTTGACCTGACGGAGCTGGTCCACCGTCCACTGCGACCTCCTGGTGAAGGAGGACGAGCCTTCAAACTGCTTCACCTTGGTGACGAGGAGCTGATGTGGCCGGGTGTTCGTCACTAACACAACAAATACAAAAATATATGAAAACATACGTCCCAAATGAACTCTGTCAACTAGAGGTAAACCACTGTTTAACCGTTGAAGCTGTGGTGTACACATACTGTATACACCTTATACATTACATCACATATTACACCTGTGTATACAGTGCACAGTGCTTGTCTTAAGCTGCACTGAGCTGCAGTCAAAGAAGAATCAGAATCCATATTTAAAGATCATCTGTGTCTCCAAGGTGAGTTTGAACTGACTAAAAATATCCCTGATATATTTTAGCTTTTACAGCAATCTGACATCTTTGTTTCATCATATATGAGATTAGACAGAAAGAATAATAACTGCTATTTGATGAATCAGAGTGCTGTTGGTGTACAGTGAACAATACTGTTTAGTATGTGATCATGCTAAACGGTCCAATCAGAATGTCTGTTACTGACCGGTGGGTTGGACCTGTTTACTGTTTAATGACAGACTGTGAGTGTGTATCATCATAAATGAAGAGAGAGAGGACCTGACACACAGATGAATGTCTTGTATTCTGCCTGAGCTGCAGCAGGAAGGAAGGACATCCTCTTCCTCCTCCTCCTCTGCACCTCCACCGCCACCAGCAGCCGCTCATCCCGAGGGATGAACACGTCTTTGTTGATCGCTGACTGTACGTTCATTGTCGTCAGACCTGCAGGTGACGGATGGACGGGTCAGGACAATACACACACACACACACACACACACACACACACACACACACACTCACACTAAACTAACTGTCTAAAATTGCTTTCTGGGGGCAGGGCGTCTGGTGGTTAGTGTGTGTGACCTATGGACAGAGGCTACAGTCAATGAGAGTGGGCGGCCCAGGTTTGAATCCGACCTGATGCTCATTCCTTCTCTCTCTCTCTCTGATTTCTGACTCTATCCAGTCCTGTCGCTCAATAAAGGCACAAAAAGCCCCCATAGTTTACCTAAAATAAAACAGTTTTCTGTTATTGAGTGCTTCATTGAATGGGGTACTGCTGCCCCTAATGGTCCTTCAGGTTACTGCAGTTGGTCCTGTAGGATTTAAAAACAAGGTTTTTCAGATCAAGATTCAGGAAACTTCATCGGGAGCAGGTGATGATGTTAATAGGGTAGGGTCAAGGCCTAATAGATATCGTGTAACATTGCATTGTGCAGCATCAGATCCTCAACGTTCACACCTCATCCATTGAATATTTACTTCTCTGCTCTGTGACTTTCAACTTCTCCTGTGAATAGTATGATATCTGGAGCTTTTATTTTGAAGGTGGAGAACTAGAAGTGTTTGACGGCGGTGAAACAAGTAAAGGTTTGCCTTCATGATAACACAAATCAAAGCTCAACAGTTCAGTCATGGATGTAGATATTATTATTGCACCACTATCTCCACTTTTTCAGACAACTTAACAAGCTCTGGGGGGTATTCCATCAACGTAGATAAATAAAGCCAGGCTCACCTGAAAAAGTCAGGCTGAAACTAAGGCCATCTTCCAATTAAGCCTCAAGTCGTTCTATAAAAGCAATCCAGCCTTATTTAATCAAGGCTGATTCTAGACAGGCTCAGCGAGAGAGAGATAGACAGCCTCGCTTTGTACACAAGCCCAATGTTAAATAGAAGCCCAAATGAAAGGATGAATGAAAAGACGATCAAATGAGTCACAGAGAGAGGAAACAAAGAAAATCTAGTAAGTCTTACTGCAATAGAGAACAAACCATATGACGTATTTTTGTAGGCCAACCCTGAAGTAGCATCGCCATGGGGTCTATCAAGAATTTGCCTATGTGATTTTTGCAAAATAATCTCTGTGTCAAACGCACGTTTCTGAAGTGTAGGCTTTTAGTTCAGCAGGATAATCTTCACAAATGAACACCATGTTTATGATGTTTAAAGAGTTAATGCGGCCGACAGAAGTAAAAAGCTAACGTTATGCTACAAGTTAACTACACCACGGTCGGATGATTGTGACGTCACTAGCGTTATGCTTCAGACGATCTCCGATAAACTAATCAGCGTAGCTTAATAAATAGTTTACTAGCATAATATTTACCTTTAGATAAAGATTAAAGCTACAGGAGACATCTCCAACTAGTGAGAGAGTTCCCGCCCTCTGTGTCCGGCGTGATGACGTTTAATGTCCCCGACAACCACTGTAGTCACATTTAGCCACTTGTTAGCAACCGCCTTTTTAAAGACGTGTAAAAATGTCAAACTTCACAAGTGGGGGTATTACCTAACGTAGTTTATGTGGTCTAACAAAACACCAACATCTCTTAAGCTTGTGTTAACCACAGACCTTATTTCAGGCGTCTAACCACAAACCCATTCAAAATCCCCGTTGACTTTTAGACGTTAGACCCCATGGCGCTCAAATGCTAACATACTTCTGGGTTTTAGGATTCATTCCTGTGTTGTCTATATACTCAACAGACAGTCTATGGTCAAAGGAAATAAACTTCACCACATGCCACCCCCTCCTGACCCTGATCCTGCTGCGTTCACTCAGAGTTAGGGGCGGCTGTGACTCAGTGGTAGAATCAGTCGTCTCTGACCCGGAAGGTCAGGGATTGGATCGCCAGCTCCTGCATCTTCATATCTGATGTGTACTTGGGAAAGACACATAACCCCAAGTTGCTCCCGCTGCTTCGTTGGTGGTGTATGAAGGTGTATGAATGGATTAGTCTCTTTACATAGCAGCCTCTACCATCAGGGTGTGACTGTGTAGGCGTGACCTGCGGTGTAAAAGCTCTTTGAGTACACAGAAGACTAGCAAGGGGTTTACAAGCTCAAATCCATTTAGCATTTACTGTGTGCAGAGAAAATACTTGGAGGCTGGCAGGAGATGTGTGTTGTTGTTGTTGTCATAAAGAAGAGAACATGAACATCAGCCCAGACTCCGACAAACAGTCCCAGGTTTACTGTTCTTAACATCTTTATCAGAATACTTGTTTGACATTAACAACAGATCTTTTAAAACAAACTGTTTGTTGTATTCTGAATGAATCACTGAAACGTTCAAGTTTCATTTTAATCACAAACTGCACAGTTACCATGGAAACATGTCCCTCTAAATTCCTGTGATGTATCCATGACCTATCTTAAAACAGTCAAGAATGATCACAGGGAATCTACTGGAGCGGACAACCTGGCTCCTTTTGTTTTCTAAAGCTCTCAGCACAAATTACAAACATTTGTAATCACTCCATCACATCTGGTATGGTTTCCAAGTTTTGGAATCCTTGATAAATGACCGGTTGAAAGATTTTCTTTGCAGAACTTAAATCCTGAGCCCATATGAGTCAGGTTTGAGAACAGTGCATAGTACTGTGCCTGCCATAACAGAGGTTGTGAATGACTTTATTTCTGCTGCAACAGCATTGCGTGACACTTTCTGTCGATGAAACTAAGGCCTGTGAATCATTCCCTGCTCCTGCAAAGGCTGCATTACACTGTTTTATGACAATGCATGCGATTGGTTCAGGAGTTATCTCTCTGATAGACACAAATCTGTTAAAATAGGAAGCTACTATTCTAATCTTTTAACAGTAACAAAAGGTGTTCCACAAGGCTCAATTTTAGGCCTGGTTTTATTTACTACATACATAAACAATATTGTCCCGTCTTTATTGAACTGTGATGCCCATCTTTCTGCTGATGACACAGTTCTCGAAGATAGTCACGAAGATGATACGAAGATAGTCACTGGTAATGGGCTAATGATTGAGAGAGTCTGGGCATGTAGATCGATGCAAAACCGTCATTAAACCTTCACATTAATAATCTTCTAGGAAGATTCGGGCAGAAAACTAGTTATTTCTACAGAGATAAATGTGTTTTTCCAATGTTGTGTAGGAAGAGGTTTGGTGAGTCTGTTTTTATGTCAGTCTTGGACTATGGTGATGTTATCTATAAGACGTGCACCGACCACAACCCTTAAACATCTCGACTTTGTCTACCACTTCGTGTTAAGATTTATTACAAGTGACGCCACATCATTGTGTCCTGTACACGGTTGGCTGCTAATCCTCTCTCACAGAAAGGCAGGATTTGCATCAGCATCTTTTTATTTAAAAAGCTCTCAGAGGAAAATGACCTTCATACTGAACAGAACTCATGCATCTCTCAGCTGGGCATTTCCAGACACATTGATCAGAGCAGTGATTGTTGAACACACTAGAAACTCTGCCTTTTCTTATTCTGCACCAACATGACACAACATCTCTTTCAGGGCAGGGAACTTTGACATTTTGGACATTTTATAAACATAATTTTTAACTTCCCAACCTCTGTTTGTAACTGTAACATAAGTGTATTTTATTTATTTTCAATAAACTCACTGAATTCACTAAGTTATTTAAGTCCATTTCAGGGTTTTCTTACACCCTAATACCGTGTTTACTTATTCCTTTTAATTGCTTTAGCTTCCTAGAAATCCCCCCAGTCTGTCGTTCCAGTTTGAGATTTAATCTGCAGAGGTTCATGAAATGACAGAGACGTTAAAAGATTTGAAAAAAGATTAGTCTCAGCTAAACAAGATCAAATACATGTTGATAGACTCAGAGGTCTGCTCCTACCTGCTCAGGTGTGTTCAGGTGTGTCAGTCCAAATGAGATTGTCAATAATATTCCAGCTCTCTGTCACGAGTTAGAGCGGGGCGCACCCGACGGTGAGCCTTTCTGTGAAGGCACAAAAAACCACAGAGCATCTCTTTAAGAGGACGACAGAAAGAGAGTGAGAGAGAGAGAGAGAGAGAGAGGGAGAGGGAGAGAGGGAGAGAGAGAGAAATAAAGAGAGAGAGAGAGACAAACAGACAGAGGAAAAGAGAGAGAGAGAGAGACAGAGGGAGAGAGAGAGAGAGACAAAAAGAGAGAGAACTGTATTTAAGCTTTAGCAATGTAAACGTATGTTTCTGATGCTTACAAAGCTCTTTTGATTTGAGTTGAACTTGAATCTGTTTGTTGTCTCTTCCTGACGTTGTTTTGGACAAACTCATCAAGAAGGCCTGCTCTGTGTTAGGCTGCAAGCTGGACTCTTTTGTAGTGGTGACAGAGAGGAGGACTCTTAACAAACTGTTATCCATTATGGATAATCCTGATCACCCTCTGCACAATCTACAAACAGCAGAGCAGCTTCTCCAACAGACTGATACAACTCCGCTGTCACAAGGACAGATACAAGAAATCTTTCTTACCGAAGACCATAACTCTGTACAACAGCTCACCTCATGCGAGCAGAGAACTGTCATCATGATATTATCTGTCTCTCCATACTGTAATCTGTTCTGCACAAGTTAAATTTACAAATTATCCCTGCACTCATGTTCACTTCATTTGGCTGTCTACTCGCCGTTATATTGTATAGTTTCTGCTTATAATATGTCTACACTCATGCACTTTAACTTATGTCAATACTGTCCATTTACTACTCTGTTTTTTACATTTAATCTTCCATATTTAATCTTCCTATTTAAGACTAGTAATGCTTAGTTAAATCCTGGTTGTATATATTCACATTCTTAGTTTTGATATTTTTTAGTACTTATTCACTTTGTAGTTAATATTATATTGTGTTTAGATTGCTAACATTGTGTTTTTTACTCATATTGTGTGTTGGATAACCTGCTGCTGTAACACCACAATTTCCCAGTTTGGGATCAATAAAGTAATTCTATTCTATTTATTTCTATTCTATTCTATTTTCTCTCTTGTGTTGTTCTTACTCTCAGATGTTCATCACTTTGGATAAAAGCGTCTGATAAATGACATGTAAAATAAAATCAAAACAGATGAGTTTTAATTATCCCCCGGTACGTTGTGTGCTGATAAAGACTTGAAGTACTCCGATTGGTTTATGGTACCAGGCTGTACTCATGTTTATTTCTGCTGTAAGAATTGACATTTTAATACGGGGCTATATGGGGATTGACTCACCTCTGCAGCCAGCCTCAAGTGGACACTCGAGAACTTCTGTATTTGCTTCATTTTCGAACACAGGAGGTTGCTGCTTGTTGTATAATATAATAATAATATAGACATTATCACTATGTAATCTATCCAGAACACACACGGTGCATATTTGTCACAGAGAGACAAAATAAGGTGACGTGTATAGAGTCCTGTCAATGAAATCTTAAAAAACTGTTAGAACAGGTGAATAAGGATCCAGAAGCAGAACACAGAGTCAGAGGTGTTGAATGTAATGAGGTTAATTGACGGATATGGGAGACAGAGATAGATTAATGTATTACAGTGGGTTATAGAGGGAATGGGGAGATGGCTGAGCAGGAAGGCAGGTGGGTGAGTAGTGATCCTGAAGCAAAAGAAGACAGGATGAGAATCACAGCAGAAGTAGCAGAACACATTTTAGTAGCTGACTCAATGATCAGGTAATGAGTGTTTGGAGAGTCAGGGTTTATATACTGCTGAGTTGATTACACAACGGAAAGCTGTGTCCAGGTCTGGTTAACCCGCTCTGTATGCCCGTGAGTCTGTGAATGGTAACCAGAAAAGAGACTCATTGGGGCCCCTATGGCCTGACAGAAAGCTCTCCAAACCTGGGAGATAAACTTAGGTCTTCTGTCTGACACTATGTCTCTTGGGTTACGATGGAGGTGGAACACATGAGTCATCAGAAGGTCAGCAGATTCAAATAAAATAGCTAGTTTAGGTATAGGTACAGAATGGACTGCTTTGAAAACCTGTCCACAATGGTTTAATGGTATAACTGTATTTCCTTGTGATGGTGAAAGTCCTGAAACAAAGTCAAGTGGAACATGGAGTGTGTGGCCACTGTGGAACCTGTAAACCGACAGAGGCTGGCACAAAGAGACGATTATTAGGGCCATTACCTGGTGGATTGAGTTGAGCCTCTCTGACCAGGGACTCAATTTCCCAAGTCACTGCAGCTACCAAGCATGATGCAGAATGGTGGATGGCCCCTCAGAGGCATACTGAGGCTTGATCTTCCTGGAGCATGGACGATAAATCGGGGTGAAACTGAATCAAGGGCCTTTCAGATAGGACGCCATGGACACTGTGCACCACTGTCAAGCCCATTCATTGCCCATTGTGTTGTAAGAGCTCATCTCCTCACCGCAGAGTTGAGAGCAGCACAGGGTCTTGCACGTCCAATAGGTGGTTAGCTCAGATCACAACAAACGGTGTTTCACTTTGCTGAGCTCTAGTTTAAAGACCTACTGGGACATCATCAAGAAAGCTCTTGTTTGTAAAGATATTTCCAACAGTTTTGGCGTACCAGGTGTGTTTAAAACAGCAGCAGAATAGTGGACACATAGGCCTACACAGTGCTGTGGCAGGAGCTACTTTCCCGAGCTGTTTTCCTGACTATTGTTTCAGTCACCTAGCAACGCACGCTTTTGCTCAAGTGCGCTCTCCCCTTTTGCTCTGCGCCATACTACGCGGCGAGCTCAGCGCACACCGCGTCCTATCTGAAAGGCCCTTTAGCCATGAACAAAGCTCTACAGTCTCGGTGGGAGATGAGTCGTGTTACCTTCTGGGTAACACGACTGGGATGGAGGTAGAGGAAGCAGGACGAGTTCAGGGCTGAGATGACACAGATCTGGTGATGAGTGGATGAAGAGCCGGGGTGTATATGCTGCTGAGTTGATGGAGAGCAGGTGTGCAGGTCTCAGCAGGTGGATGGAATGAACCGACAGACCGACCGACAGAGCCATGACAAAAAAAGTGAATCCTGGAGCTCACAGTTTAAAGGGAACCTCAGTAAGTGTTAACTGATTCTTCTGTATAAAAAAACAGAGATTATTCAGACACAAAAGCCTGTGAGAGATCACATAATTATTCAAAGAAAGCATTGAATATTTACTGTAGGCCGGTATATTTTTTATTTAAAAACAAACTGTTTTTACATCCTGACAGAGATCATTAAAGGAATAAAAAAAACACAACAGATAATCAGCCCAATTTTCATTTGGACAAAAAATTTGAAAATAAGAAAACATTTCTTACAAACTGTTTTTTTTCTTTACAGATGTTTTATCAGAACAAAGAGAGAGAGGTCTCTATTAAAGTGAGCCGTCACAAGAGATGTGTTTGTTCTTTCTGCACACATTAAGATCACTCCGTGTGTGTGTGTGTCTAAGTCATACAGACAAAGGGGACACACACTTGAACTCTTCTTCAGAGAGAACACGGTCTTGAGTGGCTTTAATTCCTGATTTCTGATTATCAAAGAAATATTAAAAAAAAAAAAAGAATTCTCAGACTTGACCTGACTCACACAGACTCACACATTCACACAACTCTACACACTCCGACTGTCCTGACAGGACGGACTGCGTTTCATGACTCAGCACAAAGTGCAGATGTTGATTAAGTGCTTCATGATGAGCAGACAACATCAGACCATCGTCCTGCAGAGAGCTGAAACAACATCAGTCCCTTTAAGCCTCTTTTAAATCCTCTGAATGTCCAGACGATGTAAGCACCATGATATGACAAACAAAAGTAAAGGAGTGATCGTTCCTCTCGTCCTACATGGTGCGATCTGTCTCTGTGATCATTCTTCTCGTCCTACATGGAGTGATCTGTCTCTGTGATCATTCCTCTCTGTGATCGTTCCTCTCGTCCTACATGGAGTGATCTGTCTCTGTGATCATTCCTCTCTGTGATCGTTCCTCTCGTCCTACATGGAGTGATCTGTCTCTGTGATCGTTACTCTCGTCCTACATGGAGTGGTTTAATCACAGGATCATAGCTGCAGGCGTCTTAAAGCTAACAATGCTACCTCGTTTGTGTAGTAAGTTTAGTGTCCATTTACACTATTTCTTTACAAACCAGTGCACATCAGCCTGTTAAGAGTTTTTAGCATGTTCATTCGGCATAGCATTTTCAGTGTTTAGCGCCCTGAGCGTTAAAATGTTGTTGTTGTGCGTTAAAATGTTGTTGTTGTGACTTGTCTCTTGTTGTTGTTATAACGTGTCTCTTGTTGTTGTTGTGACATGTCTCTTGTTGTTGTGACTTGTCTCTTGTTGTTATAACATGTCTCTTTTTGTTGTTGTGACTTGTCTCTTGTTGTGACTTGTCTCTTGTTGTTGTTGTGACTTGTCTCTTGTTATAACGTGTCTCTTGTTGTTGTTGTGACATGTCTCTTGTTGTTGTTATAACGTGTCTCTTGTTGTAATAACGTGTCTCTTGTTGTTGTTGTGACGTGTCTCTTGTTGTTGTGACTTGTCTCTTGTTGTTGTTATAACGTGTCTCTTGTTGTTGTTGTGACATGTCTCTTGTTGTTATAACATGTCTCTTTTTGTTGTTGTGACTTGTCTTTTGTTGTTATAACGTGTCTCTTGTTGTTATAACGTGTCTCTTGTTGTTGTTGTGACTTGTCTCTTGTTGTTGTTGTGACGTGTCTCTCGTTGTTGTTGTGACTTGTCTCCTGTTGTTGTTATAACGTGTCTCTTGTTGTTGTTGTGACATGTCTCTTGTTGTTGTTATAACGTGTCTCTTGTTGTAATAACGTGTCTCTTGTTGTTGTTGTGACGTGTCTCTTGTTGTTGTGACTTGTCTCTTGTTGTTGTTATAACGTGTCTCTTGTTGTTGTTGTGACATGTCTCTTGTTGTTATAACATGTCTCTTTTTGTTGTTGTGACTTGTCTTTTGTTGTTATAACGTGTCTCTTGTTGTTATAACGTGTCTCTTGTTGTTTGTTGTGACTTGTCTCTTGTTGTTGTTGTGACGTGTCTCTCGTTTGTTGTTGTGACTTGTCTCTGTTGTTGTTATAACGTGTCTCTTGTTGTTGTTGTGACATGTCTCTTGTTGTTGTTATAACGTGTCTCTTGTTGTAATAACGTGTCTCTTGTTGTTGTTGTGACGTGTCTCTTGTTGTTGTGACTTGTCTCTTGTTGTTGTTATAACGTGTCTCTTGTGTTGTTGTGACATGTCTCTTGTTGTTATAACATGTCTCTTTTTGTTGTTGTGACTTGTCTTTTGTTGTTATAACGTGTCTCTTGTTGTTATAACGTGTCTCTTGTTGTTGTTGTGACTTGTCTCTTGTTGTTGTTGTGACGTGTCTCTCGTTGTTGTTGTGACTTGTCTCCTGTTGTTGTTATAACGTGTCTCTTGTTGTTGTTGTGACATGTCTCTTGTTGTTGTTGTGACGTGTCTCTCGTTGTTGTTGTGACTTGTCTCCTGTTGTTGTTATAACGTGTCTCTTGTTGTTGTTGTGACTTGTCTCTTGTTGTTGTTGTGACGTGTCTCTCGTTGTTGTTGTGACTTGTCTCCTGTTGTTGTTATAACGTGTCTCTTGTTGTTGTTGTGACTTGTCTCTTGTTGTTGTTATAACGTGTCTCTTGTTGTTGTTGTGACTTGTCTCTTGTTGTTGTTGTGACGTGTCTCTCGTTGTTGTTGTGACTTGTCTCCTGTTGTTGTTATAACGTGTCTCTTGTTGTTGTTGTGACTTGTCTCTTGTTGTTATAACGTGTCTCTTGTTGTTGTGACTTGTCGCTAGTTGTTGTTGTGACTTGTCTCTTGTTGTTATAACGTGTCTCTTGTCTCTTGTTGTTGTTGTGACTTGTCTCTTGTTGTGACTTGTCTCTTGTTGTTGTTATAACGTGTCTCTTGTTGTTGTTGTGACTTGTCTCTTGTTGTTGTTATAACGTGTCTCTTGTTGTAATAACGTGTCTCTTGTTGTTGTTGTGACATGTCTCTTGTTGTTGTGACTTGTCTCTTGTTGTTGTTATAACGTGTCTCTTGTTGTTGTTGTGACATGTCTCTTGTTGTTGTGACTTGTCTCTTGTTGTTATAACATGTCTCTTTTTGTTGTTGTGACTTCTCTCTTGTTGTGACTTGTCTCTTGTTGTTGTTGTGACTTGTCTCTTGTTATAACGTGTCTCTTGTTGTTGTTGTGACATGTCTCTTGTTGTTGTTATAACGTGTCTCTTGTTGTAATAACGTGTCTCTTGTTGTTGTTGTGACGTGTCTCTTGTTGTTGTGACTTGTCTCTTGTTGTTGTTATAACGTGTCTCTTGTTGTTGTTGTGACATGTCTCTTGTTGTTATAACATGTCTCTTTTTGTTGTTGTGACTTGTCTTTTGTTGTTATAACGTGTCTCTTGTTGTTATAACGTGTCTCTTGTTGTTGTTGTGACTTGTCTCTTGTTGTTGTTGTGACGTGTCTCTCGTTGTTGTTGTGACTTGTCTCCTGTTGTTGTTATAACGTGTCTCTTGTTGTTGTTGTGACATGTCTCTTGTTGTTGTTATAACGTGTCTCTTGTTGTAATAACGTGTCTCTTGTTGTTGTTGTGACGTGTCTCTTGTTGTTGTGACTTGTCTCTTGTTGTTGTTATAACGTGTCTCTTGTTGTTGTTGTGACATGTCTCTTGTTGTTATAACATGTCTCTTTTTGTTGTTGTGACTTGTCTTTTGTTGTTATAACGTGTCTCTTGTTGTTATAACGTGTCTCTTGTTGTTGTTGTGACTTGTCTCTTGTTGTTGTTGTGACGTGTCTCTCGTTGTTGTTGTGACTTGTCTCCTGTTGTTGTTATAACGTGTCTCTTGTTGTTGTTGTGACATGTCTCTTGTTGTTGTTATAACGTGTCTCTTGTTGTAATAACGTGTCTCTTGTTGTTGTTGTGACGTGTCTCTTGTTGTTGTGACTTGTCTCTTGTTGTTGTTATAACGTGTCTCTTGTTGTTGTTGTGACATGTCTCTTGTTGTTATAACATGTCTCTTTTTGTTGTTGTGACTTGTCTTTTGTTGTTATAACGTGTCTCTTGTTGTTATAACGTGTCTCTTGTTGTTGTTGTGACTTGTCTCTTGTTGTTGTTGTGACGTGTCTCTCGTTGTTGTTGTGACTTGTCTCCTGTTGTTGTTATAACGTGTCTCTTGTTGTTGTTGTGACATGTCTCTTGTTGTTGTTGTGACGTGTCTCTCGTTGTTGTTGTGACTTGTCTCCTGTTGTTGTTATAACGTGTCTCTTGTTGTTGTTGTGACTTGTCTCTTGTTGTTGTTGTGACGTGTCTCTCGTTGTTGTTGTGACTTGTCTCCTGTTGTTGTTATAACGTGTCTCTTGTTGTTGTTGTGACTTGTCTCTTGTTGTTGTTATAACGTGTCTCTTGTTGTTGTTGTGACTTGTCTCTTGTTGTTGTTGTGACGTGTCTCTCGTTGTTGTTGTGACTTGTCTCCTGTTGTTGTTATAACGTGTCTCTTGTTGTTGTTGTGACATGTCTCTTGTTGTTGTTATAATGTGTCACTCAGCAGGTGGATGGAATGAACCGACAGACCGACCGACAGAGCCAGAGTGTCTCTTGATGTAATAACGTGTCTCTTGTTGTTGTTGTGACGTGTCTCTTGTTGTTGTGACTTGTCTCTTGTTGTTGTTATAACGTGTCTCTTGTTGTTGTTGTGACTTGTCTCTTGTTGTTGTTGTGACTTGTCTGTTGTTGTTATAACGTGTCTCTTGTTGTTGTTATAATGTGTCTGTTGTTGTTGTGACGTGTCTCTTGTTGTGACTTGTCTCTTGTTGTTGTTGTGACTTGTCTGTTGTTGTTATAACGTGTCTCTTGTTGTTGTTGTGACTTGTCTGTTGTTGTTATAACGTGTCTCTTGTTGTTGTTATAACGTATCTCTGTTGTTGTGACGTGTCTCTTGTTGTTGTTGTGACGTGTGTCTCGTTGTTGTTGTGACTTGTCTCTTGTTGTTGTTATAACGTGTCTCTTGTTGTTGTTGTGACTTGTCTCTTGTTGTTGTTGTGACTTGTCTCTTGTTGTTATAACGTGTCTCTTGTTGTTGTTGTGACTTGTCTCTTGTTGTTGTTGTGACTTGTCTCTTGTTGTTGTTGTGACTTGTCTCTTGTTGTTATAACGTGTCTGTTGTTGTTGTGACGTGTCTCTTGTTGTGACTTGTCTCTTGTTGTTATAACGTATCTCTGTTGTTGTGACGTGTCTCTTGTTGTTGTTGTGACGTGTCTCTCGTTGTTGTTGTGACTTGTCTCTTGTTGTTGTTGTTGTTGTGACGTGTCTCTCGTTGTTGTTGTGACTTGTCTCTTGTTGTGACTTGTCTCTTGTTGTTATAACGTGTCTCCTGTTGTTGTTATAACGTGTCTGTTGTGACGTGTCTCTTGTTGTGACTTGTCTCTTGTTGTTATAACGTATCTCTGTTGTTGTGACGTGTCTCTTGTTGTTGTTGTGACGTGTCTCTCGTTGTTGTTGTGACGTGTCTCTCGTTGTTGTTGTGACGTGTCTCTTGTTGTTGTTGTGACGTGTCTCTCGTTGTTGTTGTGACTTGTCTCTTGTTGTTGTTATAACGTGTCTCTTGTTGTTGTGACTTGTCTCTTGTTGTTGTTGTGACTTGTCTCTTGTTGTTATAACATGTCTCTTGTTGTTGTTGTGACTTGTCTCTTGTTGTTGTTGTGACTTGTCTCTTGTTGTTATAACGTGTCTGTTGTTGTTGTGACATGTCTCTTGTTGTGACTTGTCTCTTGTTGTTATAACGTATCTCTGTTGTTGTGACGTGTCTCTTGTTGTTGTTGTGACGTGTCTCTCGTTGTTGTTGTGACTTGTCTCTTGTTGTTGTTGTGACGTGTCTCTCGTTGTTGTGACTTGTCTCTTGTTGTGACTTGTCTCTTGTTGTTATAACGTATCTCTGTTGTTGTGACGTGTCTCCTGTTGTTGTTATAACGTGTCTGTTGTTGTTGTGACGTGTCTCTTGTTGTGACTTGTCTCTTGTTGTTATAACGTATCTCTGTTGTTGTGACGTGTCTCTTGTTGTTGTTATAACGTGTCTCTTGTTGTTGTTATAACGTGTCTCTTGTTGTTGTTGTGACGTGTCTCTCGTTGTTGTTGTGACTTGTCTCTTGTTGTTGTTATAACGTGTCTCTTGTTGTGACTTGATAAGTAAGGTCTTTTACCTGCTTTTTGTAACATAAAAATGAGTAAGGTCTTTTTGTACCTGCTCTTTTGTAATGTTAACAGACAAAGAGTAAGGTATTTTACCTGCTTTCTGTAAAGTGTCTTGAGATAACACTTGTTATGAGTTGACGCTATACAAAATAAATTGAATTGAATTGAATTGAATTGTCTCTTGTTGTTGTTGTGACTTGTCTCTTGTTGTTATAACGTGTCTCTTGTCGTTGTTGTTGTTGTGACTTGTCTCTTGTTGTTGTTATAATGTGTCTCTTGTTGTTGTTGTTGTTGTTGTGACTTGTCTCTTGTTGTTGTTATAACGTGTCTCTTGTTGTTGTTGTTGTTGTTGTTGTTGTTGTGACGTGTCTCTTGTTGTTATAACGTGTCTCTTGTCGTTGTTGTTGTTGTGACTTGTCTCTTGTTGTTGTTATAACGTGTCTCTTGTTGTTGTTGTTGTTGTTGTGACTTGTCTCTTGTTGTTGTTATAACGTGTCTCTTGTTGTTGTTGTTGTTGTGACGTGTCTCTTGTTGTTATAACGTGTCTCTTGTTGTGTTTGTGACGTGTCTCTTGTTGTTGTGATGTTGTTGTCTTGTCTCTTCTTGCTCTGATGAGTCTCTCGTTCTTACAAGGTGTCTGGGCTGTCCTGTGCAGGTTCAGGATGTTCCTGTGGTCTGTACATGAAGGTGAGCAGGAACAGAGCTACATCGTAGGAGCACCAATAGGCTGTGTGTGAGGTCACTGCTGACCAATAGCGGCTCTCCACCATTCCCTCCCTCAGCTCAAAGTCGATGCGTCTCTCCAGCTCCACTGGAACAGAGAAATCACAGATCAGTGTGAATAGAAAATAGCTCTGACTCTCTTTGATATGCTCATTGTAAGTCTTTAAGGTGGAATATGTAACTTTACTGGTGAGCACCAGTCTCTCAGACCAAAACTAACTCCTTCAGGGTACCTCCCCCGACCCCTCCCTCAGTCTTCCTATTCTCCCCCACCCCTCCCTCGCTGCTTCCCTCCTCCCTCACTGTTCCCCTTCTCCCCATCCCTCCTTCACTGTTCCCCTTCTCCCTCACCCCTCCCTCAGTGTTCCCCTCCTTCCCGACGCCTCCCTCAGTGATCCCCTTTGCCCCATCCCTCCAGCAGTGTTCCCCGTCTCCCTCACCCCTCCCTCAGTGTTCCCCTCCTCCCTGACCCCTCCCTCAGTGTTCCTATTCTCCCCCACCCCTCCCTCACCGCTTCCCTCCTCCCTCACTGTTCCCCTTGTCGCCCATCCCTCCCTCACTGTTCCCCTTCTCCCCCGATACCTGAAGAGCTGCTTACCTTCTGTCCGTATACAGGACACAGAGCTGGATTTCTCTGGATGTCTGCCCGTGTTTTGGGGATCAATTGCCTGGATATACCGACTTTATTTATCTCCTTGTTCTTAGGCTCATTCCTCATTCTTCCACATCCTACCTAATCCTCTCACTGTTCCTGGCAGCCTTACCATTTCACATCACTCCAAACCTCCAACCAATCAGCAGCTAACACACCTTCCTAAAACCTTTCCTTATCTCCTGCATCCTTCAGTCTGACAGAGCGGTAGTTCTCATTAGCAGAGAGCAGAACACGTATTCTATTAAACCAAATCTGACCTATCAGCCTCACACTTTCACAAACAGTCAGGATGTTGTGTTGAAGGGACTGGTTGGGTTGGACAGGACAGATCTTAAAGGAAAAGGAACTCACATGAGGAGCTGTCCATGACGACTGAGGTGGACTGGGACATGGCAGGCTCCACCTCCGTCCTCTCCTCCTCCAGCTGTTTGTCTTTCACTTCACTCTCTGCCATCACAGCGCCTTCCTCTCCTGTTGCCACGTTTTCCACCTCAGAGGCTCCGCCCTCACAATCAGAAGGCTCCTCTTCCACCCCACCCACCTGGCCGCTGGAGCGGGAGAAGCGTGAAAACAGGATTCCTCCAATTCCCTTTCCAATACTCGCAGCACCTAAGGGGTGGGGTGGGGGGGATCAATAAAGAAGAGGACACAGGCAATTCGTTTTTAAAAGTGAAGCCTCTAACCAGCAGGGGGCTTCTGATAGTTGTTATTTAATAATGATGGTCTATTTAGAGTCACAGAGACCAGAAAGATGGGGAGGAGTGTAGCTGATATTAGCAACCTGAAAATGTCTTGTTGAGGATTGCCATGTTGAGGATTTGTACTAAAAAAGTATCTGTCAAAAGAAAAAGAGTGGTGGTATTTAGTTGAGTGAGGCCTGTTGGTGCTGCAGTCTCTGTTCTCCATCTGATGCATAGAGAAACATTAGTGCCAGTCCTGCAGTCAGCAGCTCACAGCTTTATCGACCTGTTTGGAGCGTGCTCAGTATCGATGCTTGCCTTGCTTCAATATGAGCGGAGCCAGCAGCTCCTGATTCTCTGAGGTCTGATCTGACTGAGTGCTTGTTGTGACTGAACGATTGGCTTTTCTCAGAGTCTTTATTTCTATATTTATTCCACTGTGTTCTCTCTCTATCTGAGGCCAACACTGATTGATTCAGCGGTCAGATTTTGAAATGCTGACCCTACAAACCCTGGGCACACGTTCAGAAAATCCCTGCTCGTGCCAAGATTGACTGGTGGTGCTCAAACTGTCTGCTTACACTCACAGATTTCTCTCTGTCCACCTTCAGTCTTCATGAAACATTTCCTCTCAGATTTTTGCTGAGGTCTTTGTCAAAACCCCTTGACCAATAGGATACAAGGTGAAGAGTTGACCAATGAATGAATCCCTGCCCCCCTGTCCTGTCCGCCTTTATACAGGTATCAGTTCAATCACAGCTCTTTTTCTGTTCTCTTGTTTCTGAAATAACTTTATAATCACAGGTACTAAAAGCACCCCCCCCCCCCCCCCCCCATGTCCTCACCCATTATGCTGGCTTTGCCCAAACTGGTGATGGACTCTCCGTAGTGGCGTCGGGCCTGAGGGGGGGAGGTGCAGGGGCTGGGGATGCTCTCAGAGTCGGACACAGAGGCGGTCTCCTTGGGCAGGTTGAGCATGGTGGGTTTGATCTGATCATACCGAGTGGGACTGGTGGTGTTATACCTGCAGACGACATGGCCCTCAGGTCACTGACTCACTCCCTCTAAGCGCTCTCATTAAACACAGCTGGTTATGACATCACCACACTGTGAGGACCAATACAAGGGCAGGGTTTTTCCTGCATAGAGAATTCTTTGGCGCCCCCCAAAGAGGTTTTACCCAGCGCCAAAGGAAAATCACGAGCGCCAAAAGAAAAAAAAGACGATTCAAATTGCAAATCAAATCCTCTCTGAATGTAAGTTAAAAATATCAATACATCAAACGACTGTTGAACAAGCAGAACATAAACTTAAATACGACGTCTCTGACTTCAAGCAGTCATCTCTCCTCTCATCCATTTACACATCGCTCGCGTTGGATAGCCAGCTGATTGACTGTTCGTTTCTTTTGACTGGTTCATGACGCTCCACTGACACCCACAAGCTAAATGAGGGTTGATTTTCTGTTTGGCGAGTTAATTTCAAAGAGTAATGCTCTTGGGCGGTAAAAATTTATCCCAACAGTCTTGTTAAAACTAAACTAAACCGTGTATGATGTAGCTGCGGCTACTTGTCCCTGCTCCTCTGCTGTCTGCAGACGGGTCATCGCGGGGGCACGCCGACACGAGACACACCAACATACATGGCTGCAAACGCACACTGGAACGCCAACCACCGCGCGCACCTGTTTACCTGTAGTGCAACGGAACACGGTTGATCCGCTATCCAGATGGACCGGGTCAGGAACACACGTTCAACTTTTCTCTGTTCACTTCCTCCGTGTCTGCTTTTATTAACAATCAGTAACTTGACGACCGTAACGTCAGCCAGCTGTAGTCTGTGAACTTCTCCACACAGACGGTCAAACAGCGCTGCCTTATAGCCAGCAAATATATTTTTATTATTTCTCAATTTCCTGATCTGATCAAATGATCCAAATTATCTGTGACTGAAATCTGTGATTATTTGACATAATACCTTAACTCAAATAAATGTACTTAAACAAATGTGTATGTAAAACGAAAACACAATTTAAAGGAAAAGAGCAACCATCATAGGAAGAGGGTGAAATGCACTGAGGATGTGACCTCCCCTCTTCCAATCTCATTACACCCCTCTCCCTCAAAGTCCCTCCCCTCCCATGTTTCACTGTTGCAATAAAAAATATATATTTTCAGTAACTTAAGCATAATGATAATATTATTTATAAAATGTTCAGAAATAAAAGGAAATGCACAGATTTCTGTCAAAAAAGGTAATACAGACTCACAGACTATACTGTAATACGAGGGTCGAACGTTTACTACAGCGCGTATAGTCACCCCCCCAAAGGCCCATTCTGAGCCAGGAAAAACCCTGAAGGGTCGTCATGACAACGTGTTTTTAACACGAATAATGACATGAATACTGCAATCATCTGTCTCTGATGTCAGAGGATGATGTCAGCCTGTGAAATATCAATATCAATCAGCTGTATACAACATGATCATATGATCAGTATCAACATGTAAAGTTAGATAGTATGTGAATAACTATGAATAAACACTAACAAACACTGATAAAAATGAAGAAACATTTATAAATAAATACAATGATGAATAAATGTTTTCTTACCAGTGTATCTGAACAGGAGCAATGTTACTGTAGTGCTTTAAGATCAGAGGCTCCAGTCTGTACGCCTGAAACACACACACACACATACACACACACACACACACATACACACGCACACACACACACACACACACACACGCACGCACGCACATACAGACACACACACACGCACATACAGACACACACACACACACGCACACACAGACACACACACACGCACATACAGACATACACACACACAGACACACACACGCGCACACACAGGCACACACACACACACACGCACGCACATACAGACATACACACACACGCACACACAGGCACACACACGCACATACAGACATACACACACACACACGCACACACAGGCACACACACGCACACACACACACACACACACACAAACACACAAACAGGTTTTAAAAACAGGTCTCAAAGTGCAAGGTTTTGAACACTGTTCCAGTTGCCGGGTAGACGCTGGTTAAACGCTGTGTGTCCTCCAGACGATGGACTAATGCACGTGTTTTTTCTATGTGAGTGTGTGTCTCACCACAGGGTCTGTGGGGTGGAAGATGTTGAAGAGTCGTCTGCAGATGGTTGTAGGCAGGATGTGGTCTTGCACGCCATGATTTCCCGGTCTGATCCCTCTCAGAGCGAGGAACACGGCCAGAGGAGAACCCATACAGAAGAAGTTCTCCACCTGCAGCACAGGTAACACAACATGTTACTGAGCCGCTCATTGGTCAGTTATCATGTCACACTGTTACAGTGCTGCTCATTGGTCAGTTATCATGTCACTCTGTTACAGAGCTGCTCATTGGTCAGTTATCATGTCACTCTGTTACAGAGCTGCTCATTGGTCAGTTATCATGTCACTCTGTTACAGAGCTGCTCATTGGTCAGTTATCATGTCACTCTGTTACAGAGCTGCTCATTGGTCAGTTATCATGTCAAACTGTTACAGAGCAGCTCATTGGTCTGTTAAAGAGGACTTAGGGGAAAGACAACACACATATAAATGACACGGACCCCTCATGAGGATTAAGGAAAAGCACAGATTTTAAACTTGATAAAAGAACATCTTTGACTTCAGTTTGCTCGTGATGATCCCCTGCTCGCTCGTCTCTGAAGCTACACTAAATGTTACAGTCTGAACCAGTCTGAGTCTGACGTGTGGACCAGAATAAAACCCAGTGAGTGTTTGTGAGTCTGCATCTCTTTAAAGAGTAAATGTAGAATCAATCTTACAAACATCATATCAATCCTCTGCTCCAATCTCAACATATGTTTGGATCCGGGAGGAGGACACACAGAGGGGCTGAGTCAGTTTACCTTAAACTTCAGAGCTGGAACAGAGACGCAGGAGGACGTCTGCAGACCCTCAAACTGATCCTCCAGGTCCCTCAGCCTGCAGAGGGCAGCAGAGATCAGAGTGAATACAGTCTAAAGTAGAGTTACTCAAAAAAGGGAAACACATTTTATAAATACGTTATGAACTGAACACAAATTAAAAAAAAAAAATTCAAACGTTATCCAAAACTTTACCAACCATGTAACCATAAGATCATTTAAATGATGTTAAAAAAAGTGTATTTATTTTGTGGGAGCGACAATAACTGGACTTTTAAATCACGTAAACATGCGAGTCTAAGGTAAGTGTCTCACAGTGGGACTAACACACCTACATAATTTAGAGTTTACACCTCATCAGACACAAACTGGACTCAACGTTCTGAGCAAGCTCCAAAGTTGGAGGTCAAACGGCATAAATGTGCAGAAGAAGAAAACAAGATGAAGGTCTGAACATGGAGAGAGTTAAAGAGAGAAGCAGACGAGGAGACTCAGGACAGGCTGAGTCACCTGGAAGAGGTCAACATGTTGAAGAACAGGGATGGAGAGAAAACGTGGAAGTTAGGGTTAACAATTGTTGGTTTGTGACGTAACAGGTCAACAGGAAGAAGGTCTGATAGTAACTATCTGAGAGGAGCCATATCGCCACCTACTTGAGAGGAGTCAGACATACTTCTGTCTGCTTGTATATTAATGTTGTATATTCATGTTCACCTGATTTCAGTTCAGAAAGTCTGAATGTTGTAACTACAACCCAAAATCAGCGTTGATGCTCCACAGAAGATCAGTGAAATGTAACTGTTAAAAGTTATATTTGAGAAAAACGTTTGTGTGCAATACGTTAATTAATAAATAAAATGTGCTACGTACTACGGGTGAGTGTATTGCATCATTTCCTGTTCTGTTCTCTGCTGTACTGTTACTCAGTGCTGATCGTTAGAGCTAAAAGCTTAATTGTTAATTTTGCCTAGTTTCTTACAACTTGTTTCCAACACACTGTACATTCAAACAAACAGAAGTAATCGAAAAGCACTCTTTCTCTCTAGCGACAAACCTGCCTAACAGTTTTGTTTATTTTAGCTACCTACTCTTAGCCTAGCTTAGCAGTTAGCTTTATTTACAATGGCTTCTTTATTGGAGACTCCATAGTCTGAAACGTGAAGCTAGCGAAGTCAGCGGGCATAGTTAGATGTATACCCGGGGCCAGAGCGGGTGACATCGCATCTCATTTAAAGTTGCTGACAAAGACTAAAGGTAGATTTGATACAATCGTAATTCATGTCGGCACTAATGACTCCCGACTACGCCAGTCGGAAGTTACTAAGGTTAATGTGGAGTCGGTGTGTACTTTTGCTAAGACAATGTCGGACTCCGTAGTGTTCTCTGGACCCCTCCCAAATCAGACCAGTGATGACATGTGTAGCCGCATGTCATCACTCAACCGCTGGCTGTCGAGGTGGTGTCCAGCACACAATGTGGGCTTCATAGATAACTGGCAGTCTTTTTGGGGAAAACCTGGTCTGCTAGCTAGAGACGGCATCCATCCCACTTTGGACGGTGCAGCTCTATTATCTCGAAACATAGCAGAGGTTATTAGTCCAAAACCTTGACAACAAGACAGAGTTCAGACCAGGAGGCAGAGCTGCAGTCTTACATGCTTCTCTGCGCCTCCCTTAGATCTGTCTCCCAGTCACTATAGCTGTAATTCTGAATCGAACTGTAGTTATACTACTGTGTCTGTCCCCCGATCCAGAACCGTTTTTATAAGTCATCCAAACGTAGAAAAAAAAGGCGTAAATCGTCAAAATCTCATTAGAATCAAAACTACGAATACGAATTTGCAAAAAAATCAGAAAATTCACTGCAGACTTTTGAACATTAGGTCCTTAGCATCCAAATCTCTTTTAGTGAATGATCTGATATCAGATCAGCATATTGATTTACTTTTTTTGACTGAAACCTGGCTGTGTCGAGATGAATATGTTAGTTTAAATGAATCCACTCCTCCCAGTCATTTTTGTACTCATATACCTCAAGACACCGGACGAGGTGGTGGAGTAGCGGCTATTTTTAATTCTGGGCTTCTAGTTAACCCTCGACCAAAGCTGAATTTTTCTTCTTTTGAAAGCCTTGTTCTTAGTCTTTAACATCCAGTCTCAAGAACCTTTCAGCCAGTTCTCGTTGTTGTAGTTTACCGCCCTCCTGGCCCATATTCTGAATTTCTATCTGAATTTGCAGAATTTTTATCAAATTTAGTCCTTAGCAGTGATAGAATAATTGTTGTAGGTGACTTCAATATCCATGTGGATGTTGATAATGATAGCCTTAGTACAGCTTTCATGTCATTATTAGACTCTATTGGTTTCACCCAGGGTGTAAATGAACCTACTCATCGTTTTAACCACACCCTGGATCTTGTTTTAGCTTATGGCATTGAAATCCAAAACCTTACAGTTTTCCTAGAAAATCCTCTTCTATCAGACCATTTCCTTATTACTTTCGACTTTGTCCTACCAGAATTATCTCTGCTTAATAAAAATTTGCTCTCTAGAAGTTTATCTGATAGTGCTGTAGCTAGATTTAAGGAAGGTATTTCAGCTGCTTTTGATTCAGTACCGCGTTTTAACCCAGTTGGAAACTCTTATGATAGCATTAGTCCCTCTCAACTAGATCAGTTTGTTGATAGTGCAGTGGATTCGCTGAGAGTTACTCTTGATTCGATTGCTCCCCTAAAACAGAAGGTTATCAAATGGCAGAGACTAGCTCCATGGTTCAACTCAGTAACCCGTACTCTAAAACAATTGCCGCAAAATTTTGAAAGAATATGGCTCTCTAACGAAACGGTAGAATCTCGTTTATTCTGGCAGGATAATCATAATAAATATATGAAGGCTCTACGTCACGCTCGAGCTGCCTACTACTCCTCTCTAATTGAGGAAAACAAAAGCAATCCTAGATATCTTTTCAGCACTGTAGCCAGGCTGACAGAGAGTCATAGCTCCATTGAGCCTTGTATTCCTTTAGCCGTCAGCAGTGATGATTTCCTTAGCTTTTTCAACAACAAAATTCTAAATATCAGAGACAAAATTGGTAACCTCCTGCCCTTACCTGGTGCAGATACATCTGATACGGCAGAGACAGTTCCAGGACCAGATATTAGCCTCGACTGTTTTTCTCCAATCGACCTTTCAGAGCTAAATTCAATTATTTCTGCGTCGAAACCGTCAACCTGTCTTTTAGACCCAATCCCAACCAAGCTGTTTAAGGAAGTCTTTCCCTTAGTTAGCAACTCTATATTAGATATGATCATAATGTCTTTACTGGCAGGCTATGTACCACAGTCAATTAATGTAGCGGTAATCAAACCTCTATTCAAAAAACCTACTCTAGATTCAGGAACTCTAGCGAACTATAGGCCTATATCCAACCTTCCTTTTATCTCAAAGATCCTGGAGAAAGTGGTAGCTAATCAGCTGTGTGACTTTCTCCATGACAACAGTTTATTTGAGGAGTTTCAGTCAGGATTTAGAGTCCACAATAGCGCGGAGACTGCACTAGTTAAAGTTACAAACGATCTACTATAGCTTTAGACAGGGGACTTCTGTCTGTGCTCGTCTTGTTAGATCTTAGTGCTGCTATTGACACCATTGACCATCAGACCCTATTATACAGACTAGAACATTTACTTGGAATTACAGGGACTGCTTTAAGTTGGTTTGAATCCTACTTATCAGACCGATCTCAGTTTGTACATGTTAATGATAATTCCTCTATGCACACCAAAGTTAGTCATGGAGTGCCACAAGGTTCAGTGCTTGGACCAATTCTCTTTACATTATATATGCTTCCTCTGGGAAATATTATGAGGAAACACTCCATACAGTTTCATTGTTATGCAGATGATACTCAGCTTTATGTATCAATGAAGCCCGATGGCACCAGTCAGTTATTTAAGCTAGAAACATGCCTTAAGGACGTTAGGACCTGGATGACCAGAAATGTTTTGCTACTTAACTCAGACAAGACTGATGTTATTGTGCTAGGCCCTAAAAACCTCAGAGAGACTTTTTCCAGTGATTTGACTGTCCTTAGTGACATCAGCCTGGCATCTAGCACCACTGTTAGGAATCTAGGAGTTCTATTTGATCAAGATATGTCCTTTAGCTCTTACATCAGGCAAATTTCAAGAACAGCCTATTTTCACCTTCGTAATATATCCAAGATCAGGAATATCCTGTCGCAAAATGATGCAGAAAAACTAGTTCATGCATTTGTTACCTCCAGATAGGATTATTGTAATTCTCTTTTGCCGGGGTGCTATGGTGGGTCTCTAAAGACTTTTCAACTAGTCCAGAACGCTGCAGCTTGTTTACTGACTAGAACTAGGAAAAGGGACCACATTACTCCTGTGTTGGCTTCTCTGCACTGGCTCCCTATACAGTCTAGAATAGAATTCAAGATCCTTCTTCTCACTTACAAAGCTCTAAATGGCCAGGCACCTTCTTATCTTAAGGAGCTACTAGTGCGGTACTGTCCCTCGAAAACATTACGGTCCCAGAATGCAGGCCTGCTAGTGGTACCTACAGTCTCTAAGTGTACTATGGGAGGTAAAGCCTTCAGTTATCGGGCTCCTCTCCTCTAGAATCGTCTTCCAGCCGGGGTCCAGGAGGCAGACACAGTCTGTATTTTTAAGAATAGACTTAAAACTTTCCTTTTTGATAAATCTTATAGTTAGGGCTGGTGCTGGTGTAGTCCAGCTCCTAGTTATGCTGCTATAGGCTTAGACTACTGGGGGAACTGGCACCTTGAGCTCCTCTCTCTCTCTCTCTCTCTCTCTCTCTCTCTCTCTCTCTCTCTCTCTGTGCATATACAGTACATCATATTACTGCATGTATCTATCTGTAAATCTCAGTCACTAACCACCTACTTTCCTGGGAGCTCTTGAGCTCTCTTAGGCTCCTCGAGTTCGTTGGTTGATGGCCTGCCAGACGGCCTGAGTTTGCGAGTTGTTGTTCCAACGTTAGCAGGTGTTCATGTCCATTTTACAACTCGGAAACTCGTTTTTCCGATGTGTCCTACACCACATGAATGCAGCATTCGACAAAGACAGGAGAACTACATGGACCAATGAGGTCAAACTGAAGCATCACTGATCATGGACACACTGAATGTGCAGGGGTTTACCTGCAACTTTTGATAATTCAAATCAATAAAGTACTGACTTCTCTTTCTGATGCGCTGGTATCAAACAGGTGTCAATATGTTTAGATTTTTATTAGAATCTTGCCAAAGTTTGATATTCTAGTACCCTGACAACATTAAAATGATCCACAGTGAGTCAGGATTAATCTCTGCTCTTTGATCTGAGTGTGAAAACAAACAGGACCATCACCTCAGGTGTGTGAGTCTCAGCTCCTCCTGCAGGAGGCGCTCCTGCTCGCTTGGCCAGCGGGCCTCGGTTTCCTTGGGGTCGGGAACCTCCTGATGATGGAAGCGGACCGGGTCCCAGCCTGTCATGATGTCAAAGGTGATGACACAGCCGAGCGAGTGAGACACGATGGACACCTTCCCGTTCTTCTCGAAGTCTGGATTCCTCGAACAGAAGAGCGAGTAGAGACGGTTCAACTCCAGGGTCAGACCACAGGTGATCTACATCACACAAAGTGAGAGAGAGAGAGAGAGAGAGAGAGAAAAAACACACACACACACACACACACACACACACACACACACACACACACACAGAGGGAGAGAAGGAGAGAAATATAAAACAGAGAGAGAGAGAGAGAGAGAGAGAGAGAGAGAGAAACACACACACACACACACACACACACACACACACACACACACACACACACACACACACACACAGAGGGAGAGAAGGAGAGAAAGATAAAAACACAGAGAGAGAGAGAGTCAGCCTGTGGGTCATCTTGGTTTGTTTTTCAGTGCCAGCTCTGACGTCAAACATCCACCCTGTCTCCCCTCCTCTCCTCTCAGTTCCTCCCCTTCTCTACCCTCTGTTACTCTTCTGTTCCTCCCCTCCTCTCCCCTCCTCTCCCCTCCTCACCCCTCCTCTCCCCTCCTCTCCTCTCAGTTCCTCCCTTCTCTCCCCTTCTCTCCTCTCAGTTCCTCCCCTCCTCTCCCCTCTATTACTCTTCTGTTCCTTCCTCCTCTCCCCTCTGTTACCCTTCTGTTCTTCCCCTCCTCTCCCCTCTATTACTCTTCTGTTCCTCCCTCCTCCCCTCTGTTACTCTTCTGTTCCTCCCTCCTCTCCTCCACTCCTCTCAGTTCCTCACCTCCTCTCCTCTCAGTTCCTCCCCTCCTCTCCCCTCCTCTCCTCTCAGTTCCTCCCTCCTCTCCCCTCCTTTCCCCTCTGTTACTCTTCTGTTCCTCCCCTTCTCTCCCCTCCTCTCCTCTCAGTTCCTCCCATCCTCTCCCCTCCTCTCCTCTCAGTTCCTCCCTTCTCTCCCCTCCTCTCCTCTCATCTCAGTTCCTCCCCTCCTCTTCCCTCTGTTACTCTTCTGTTCCTCCCCTCCTCTCCTCTCAGTTCCTCCTCCTCCTCTCCCTCTGTTACTCTTCTGTTCCTCCCCTCCTCTCCCTTCCCCTCCACTCCTCTCAGTTCCTCCCCTCCTCTCCTCTCAGTTCCTCCCTCCTCTCCCCTCCTCTCCTCTCAGTTCCTCCCCTCCTCTCCCTCTTTTACTCTTCTGTTCCTCCCCTCCTCTCCCCTCCTCTCCTCTCTGTTCCTCCCCTCCTCTCCCCTCCACTCCTCTCAGTTCCTCCCTCCTCTCCCCTCCTCTCCTCTCAGTTCCTCCCTTCTCTCCCCTCCTCTCCCCTCTGTTACTCTTCTGTTCCTCCACTCCTCTCCCTCCACTCCTCTCAGTTCCTCCCCTCCTCTCCCTTCCTCTCCCCTCCTCTCCCCTCCTCTCCTCTCAGTTCCTCCCCTCCTCTCCCCTCCTCTTCTCTCAGTTCCTCCCTCCTCTCCCCTCCTCTCCTCCCTTCTCTCCCCTCCTTTCCCCTCTGTTACTCTTCTGTTCCTCCCCTCCTCTCCCCTCCTCTCCCCTCCTCTCCCCTCCTCCCCTCTTAGTTCCTCCCCTCTTCTCTTCTCAGTTCCTCCCTTCTCTCCCCTCCTCTCCTCTCAGTTCCTCCCCTCCTCTCCCCTCTGTTACTCTTCTGTTCCTCCCCTCCTCTCCCCTCTGTTACTCTTCTGTTCCTCCACTCCCCTCTGTTCCTCCCCTCCTCTCCTATCAGTTCCTCCCCTCCTCTCCCCTCCTCTCCTCTCAGTTCCTCCCCTCCTCTCCCCTCTGTTCCTCCCCTCCTCTCCCCTCCTCTCCTCTCAGTTCCTCCCCTCCTCTCCCCTCTGTTCCTCCCCTCCTCTCCCCTCCCTGTGATGGAGGTTCAGATCGTCACCAACATTCAGCCTCCGTGTCGTCACACTCTGCAGACGAGGGGGAACAGGGAGGAGATATCCCACAATGCACTGCGCTGCTCTGCAAGAGCCAATAGAATCACCTCGTCTCTGTAGAGCGGGCTGGTGTAGTACATGATGTCCATGGCGCTGCTGTTCAACATGTCTCTGAGCCCTCGCACTTTATCCGGAGTGATGGAGTCCACCGTGTCTGCACACACACACACACACACACACACACACACACACACACACACACACACACACACACACACACACACACACACACACACAAACACACACACACACACACACACACACACACACACACAACACACACACACACACACACACACACACACACACACACACACACACAAACACACACAAACACACACACAAACACTTAATTAAGCCCTAACCCTCATGTCCCTGAGCTCGTGTAGAACATTCCTTCTGTCCTGCAGCCTCCGTCTAACCTCTGTGTGCTGACGAGTACAAAGAGTGGAACTAAAAACAGCAGCTTCAGGCCTCATTAAGTCAAACATCAGAGACAGAGGAGCTAACATTAGACATTAACAAACATTCAAACAAAGTTATTTATACGCCGTACTGTGCAGCTCTGATATATCTCTGATTCAAACCATGAAGACGATAACTCACTTAAAGAGAATAGACACACTGAGACTTATTTAAATACATAATAATCTGACTAAACCATGAAACATCCTCACTCATCCATTATAATTGGTCCTCAATAATGTTGTGTCCAAGCTGTAATGCAGGAATCCACCACTAGGTGGCCCCTGTTAAAATGCCTGGCCTCCTCGCTCGACTGCCTGGGTGTAAAACAACAGCTGAGAGGAGAGCCAACATGGTGCCCAGCTTCAGAGTGAGTCGTACCTCCATCCAGAGCTAGCTTGGACCTCCACTCCACCGGTAGGAACTCCACGTGCTCCGTGCTGCGGTCAGAGAAGTGTTTCTCCTCCATCTTCCTCGCCGCGTCTCTCATCCTGCAGAACAACACTTTTTATTGATGAAAGTTACTCATTTATTATTTCTCTGTATGTAAAACTTCAGGCAGATAAAAACCACAGTGTTAGTGTTAATGGTTGTAGGAACTGCAGCTGTAAAGTTGAACATTTTAACATGGGGCTCTATGAGGACTGACTCACTGCAGAAGACAGACTCTAGTGGACACTGGAGGAACTGCAGCTGTAAAGCTACTTGATGTAAAGCCAGTGCATCTCGTTAATGAATGCTATTTATTTAATAATTAATTTGTCTCACATGCTGGTGTTCCTTATGATGCGTCCCTGGTCCATTTTCTGTCCAATACCGTGCACCACGAACACGATATGTGTGGTTTCAGGGGGTGTGTCCTCAGGCGCCGCTTCCTCCACGTATCCTCGATGGAGACGTGTCCCACTGCTGGAGGCTGGGGAGATGGAGGAAGGAGTTATACCTGAGCTCACAGGGCCGTGTGTGTCTGTGTTACATTTGGGGTACCTGTCCTCCCTTTTCTGAACCTTCATGTATGTGTGCTTGTGTGTGTACCTTTAGAGAAGCCGAGTTTCTGTGTGACAGTGCGTGCAATCTTGGAGGTGGTGGCGTCGCTGTAAAGATAAACCTCGTCCACGCTGTGCCAGTCCACATGACTCCTGCTCAGCTTCAGACTGTGGATGGCTGACACACACAGACGCTGATTAACACCTACACACACACACACACACACACACACACACTCACACACACACTCACACACACACACACAAACGCAGACGCTGATTAACACCTACACACACACTCACACACACACTCACACACACACACACACACACACACACACACACACACACACACACACACACACACAAACGCAGACGCTGATTAACACCTACACACACACTCACACACACACACACACGCACACACACACACACTCTGTTTCATGTCCTCACAGTCCTTGCTGTCCACCGTGGTCGTCACAACCTCCATCTCGTAGGTGTCCCTCATCTGTTGCCCCCGGAAACGGGCCAGGTGGTCGACCTCGATGAGGTCACTCTCATCCTCCTCCAAGGGTAGCCACGTCCCGTCAATGAACCACTGCCCTCTCATCACTGGGATTCTGTCCTGTTCTGAGAGACACCACGCCATCTTTGTTACAGGTTGTGTTTGACACACACACACACACATACACACACACACACACACACACACACACACACACACACACACACACACACACGCAGGTCACATCATATTTGTTACAGGGTGTGTTTGACATGTGAACCTCTGTGTCTCACACACACACACACACACACACACACACACACACACACTGAGGTCATGTCATGTTTGTTACAGGGTGTGTTTGATTGGTTCACCTCTTTCTTTTCCAGCATTAATAGTAATTGTACAGTATTGACAGTTAGTAGCCTGTAATAGTTCAGTATGATGTAGGCTAGTAGGCCTACTAGTGATCATTAATAATAATGAGACTCACGGTTCCAGTAGACCGGGTAGCACTCTTTGTCCCGGATGTCCACTTCGTACAGTCCTCCTCGGACACACACCGCCTCCACGCTCACCTCCTCCGACTCCTTCACCTCCTCTGACCCCGAGCTCCGCGCTCCTCCGACACCGTCCTGCCCGCTGTCAGGTTGGACCTCCCCGGTCTGGGCTGCCTCCTCGGCAGGGTCGTCCGGCTGCTTGAATCGGTCCGGGTTCTGCTCACAGAACCTCCGGAACACGAGCTCGATTTTTAACGAGTCGTGTCCGACGAAAGGCTTCCAGGTTCGCCGGTCCTCCTTGTAGAACCAGCGGATCTCCTCCGGTCCCAGCTCCGTGACGATGTCCCCGCGGTGCCGGGAGCTGTTGGACCGGATCCGCTTCTTGGTGCTCACGGTCCCGTCGCTCTCAGTGTAGTCCGGCTCGATGGACAGGTACGAGGAGCCCGGGTACTCGTCATCCGGCAGGCCCAGCATCATGCCGTCATCCCCCCTCAGCAGCGGCAGGTGTCTGTCCGGGTCCCCGGCCGCACAGAGTCCATCTCCCGGAGGGGTGTCGTCGAACCCGGACACGAACACGTCGTTGGCCATGTCCCAGTCACTGCTGCTGACCGAGTTATTATCCGAGCTGTGCTGCCGGAGAGCCCCGCTGTCCTTCACACTCATCGTTAGAGGCTCGATTAAATTATAAATAACAACAAATACAAACAAACAATAATACAAACAATCACAAACACACACCAATCAGACACTCAATCATAACAATAAATCACAGACACACCAATCAAAAAAAATTCTACATCCTCAGCTGGAACATCTGTATGCCGAGCCGAACCGAGCCGAGCCAGGCTGTCTCCAACATGTGAGCGAACACACACACATTTAAACACACACACACATTTAGACCTGCCGAGCACACACACTCATCACAACAGCGTTTATTCTTCTTCAATGATGCGATCATCAACAAACGGCACAAAGCTGCGGATGTAATCTCAGCAGCTCATGATGTCATGTTTACGACGTCACACACAACTTCCTTTTCACACTTTCAAAATAAAGTCAACATCCGCATGAACGACTTACACATTCAATTTAAAACTCTTTTCACCATCATGTTCTTTTATTATTCTCTATCAGTTTCTTCTGAAAAGAAAAGCCAGATGTGCAAGCTGCATTCTCTCTAACGCCCAGCAGGGGGCGTCTGATTTTTTAGAAGTCTATGATAAAATGTGGATTTATTACTCAAAATATTTTCCTCATGGGGTTATGTTCTCAATCTCTAGTCTCAAGTCTTCTTCAACACAGCATGGACTTTATTTAGTAACTTATTGTCCCAGTTAGAGTCACCGAGACCAGAAAGAGGGGAAGATATAGGGGCGGGGCTACCTGTGATTGACAGGTCACTACTATAAAAATGTAATGTGAGAGATTCGATGTAGGGAAAAGGCTGTTCATGTTTTCAGCATTATGTTGAAGGAAGTGACGACATTTGGAAAAGGGGGCGGAACCCATGCTCGTTTCCAGCTCCACCCCTTTCCCCAAATATGGTCACTCCTTGTGCTTTAACTAAAAAAGGCAGTCCCATGTAGAGTCAAGGAGACCAGAAAGAGGTGAGGATTCAGGGGGAGCGCTACCTTTGATTGAGGATTTGTTACCAAGTGAAACATGTCCTGTTCAGCTGAGTCGGGGTAGACACCCTAAGGAGTCAGCTGTCCTTCTATATTTGAATAAATGGTTGATGTGGAATATGTGAATTAATAAAATGTTTACCCCCTATGTGATGAACATTATGACGTCAAGTCAGGATGTCGGGCACATCCTTCTTTCCAGAGAAGTTGTTGTTGCAATTTGAGCAGGCGTTCATTTTTCAACTCTTGAATCGTTAATGTGTCCGACACCACATCATACGATAACCGTGAATCATGGATGATGTCACAGTGACCAGTCTGCTATGTTTAAACCAAAGACTGTAAATATTACTGGATGAAGCCTGAGTAACATCACTGATCTGTTCCTGCAGGGGGCGCTAGAGTCCCATCGTTGGCGGTCTCCATGCTGGAAATGCTGTCTCAGTCTAACTTTTAGTCAACCTAACAGGCTGAGAGCTGGAGCTGAGGCGGGTTTTAAACCTCCTGACAAACCGTTACACCGCTTCCACCTGTCAATCAGGTCAGCTACACGCCTTATTGTGAATAACTCTTATCCTTCATCAAATCAAAACTGATGAGTCATCAAAACATTCACCCCCCGTACAGTGTGTGTCCATCGAGACATGAGCTAATCACACCTATTTGTTTTTTTGAACCAGGCTGTAAACATGTTTATCTCTGCTGTAAAAACAGGCTTTTTAGAATGGGTGTGTGTGTGACTTCCTGTGCTTCTGCAGACAGCTTCTAGTGGACACTCTAAGAACTGCAGGATTTTACACTTCAGCATCTGCTTCATTATTTAACATCGGTGGTTGCTGCTTGGTTTAAAGGGTGGTTTTAATATATGACAAAAAACAAAACAAACTTTTCAAGCATAATTTTAGAGCACATTTAATTTTGATATTTTTAGTTCCAACACGTGAAGCATTATATAAGTTTATAACTTAATAAGGTATAATAACTAATATTTAACACAGACTCACATTTGTTAATGGCCATATGTATACAGTGATACTTTTTGTACCATCCAGGCCGCCGTAGTTGCTGTCATGGCCGACGCGCAGAGAAGGAGTGTTCCTCTTCCAGAAGGTTCTTCGTTTTATGTGGACTTATCGAGTGATTTGATTTAAGCTGTCATGGCGGCGGTGTTCCTAGTCACCCTGTTTGAGTACTCCCCGCTCTTTTACATCTCTGTGGTGTCTTTATGTTTCCTGGTAACCGCCGCCATGGTCCTCGGCTGGTAAGAGACAGTTAGCCAGGCTAGTTTAGCTTTAGCTTAGCCACTGTCCCGGTGTTATGGTTTAAACATGGACCGTGCTAACTGGTGACTCTCAACCAAAGACTCTCAGTCTTGTCATGGTGTTGAAGCCGTAGAGTTTCTTTGCGACTTGTAAAAGTCTATATGAGTTGTTATATAAATAAAATTATATTCATATTAGTAAATATATTAATACGTAAACAGAAGCATTTGGCTGAGAGTCACCAGTTAGCACGGTCACTATCTAAACTGTTACCTCCCTGATTATATCTGTTGACACACGACCTCCTGCTATAATACAGGAGCTGTTATTAATGTCATGATGTACTTTGGATCTCTCTCTGTTAGACTTGATATAAGACTTTTATCTTTGATATGATTGTAGTAAAAAATAAACATTATCGATACCTTTTTGTTATCACGGCAACAAAAGTAAAAGTCCTAATAACACCCCACCTCAAGAGAATTTAATGTTTTTAATTACATTTCAAATACATTAAGACAGAGTCCTCTTGTCTGCTCCGTGTGTGTAACATACATTAATGTAACTGTCTTTATGAGACACACACACACACACACACACACACACACACACACACACACACACACACACACACACACAGTGCTGTATTACATGTTAAAGCTCAGCAGGAATGTGAACTTTAAACATAATGACGCTGCATTCAGGAGTGTATTAAACCAAAAATGTTTTCTCCAGATTATTTTCTGTGAGCATTAAAGACTGAGATTGTTGTTTCAGACATCATCTTTTATACTGAATGAAAACAGGTGACAGAGAACAGAAAGACTTCACTAAATACAGATTTAAAATGTCCTCAGACTCCCAGAGTGAAGGTCAGCAGGTCACAACACTCGCAGGAACACAGGAAGCAGCAGGTGTACAGGTGTGCTGCTCTCATGTGATACCTATCAGTATTTCTACAGACAGGTATCTCTCAGGTGTTAGTCTGTCTTTCAGAATCACAGGTAGATGCAGAACCTGATATCTTTGTGTCTCCTGCAGGTTTGGTGTTGACGTCCCAGTGATCCTCCGCAGCTCTGATGAGTCTGAGTCCGTCCTGCCCACCCCTGAGAAGCACATGGTCCAGGTGACTAACCCCTTCGGCCTGGAGGTGGGCCGTGGGCCGGCCTCTGTCTCAGGTGAGAGCTCATCTTGTCATCATCATGTAACCTAAGGGGGGCGCGATCTTACCTCTCCATCCAACACACCCTGTAAACATGTGAATAGAGTAGTCCCGATACCACATTAAGACTTTGATACGTATCTGATCAAACCATATACACCTGTCTGTTACCATGGCAACAACATTAGAAGTCCCAGACACCTAATATTATTGTTTTTAAATATTGCAGCTGAACTCCTGCACACTGTCTGAAGGATATGTATCCATACTGGTACATTGTATAGTAGAATAACAAAAGAGAGCCGTTTGATGGACTCTTTCCTCTCCAACACACCTGTGTTGTGAACCAGGTGAAGTTATTTCAAAGCTTCAGCACGGTTTGACATCACAATCATTACAATGAAAGGTTTTAATGTTTTAAGACACCTGGAATCAAAGTCTCAAACTTGGAGTTTGTTTCTCTCCCTCACAGGTGGAGTGTACCTGAGGCCGTGCTGTCTGGAGCCCTGTGTGCTCACCTGTTTCTGGGGCTGTGAGATCAGAGCCCTGCAGGGGGCGCTGCATGCACACCAGCACAGCAAGAGGATCAGCACCCCCCAACACATCCAGGAGGCCCTGCAGCTCCGCTACCTGCACTGTGAGAGCTTCACGTATCCTTATCAAGTGAAATGTAAATATAGATGAATCAAACATCCTCGTGATGACTCAAGTGTCTGTTTAGCCTCTTTGACTCCGCCCCCTCAGGATCAGCTGTGAGGAAGGGGAGGAACTTCACACACAAATACCTGCTGACAGAGGGGTCATTGACCTTGGCCCCATGCCCCGAGAATGCTACCCTCTGGTGGCTGTGCTAACGCTAACGGAGCAGGACGCCAGAGAGACGCACAACATAGTGAGTGCACCTCACACACACAGACACACACACACTAGTTTTGAATAATTGAAAGATAAGGGTTATTCCTAATAAGGGGCATGACACACTTGACTGCAATCAGCCGTTATGTAGCTGTTTGTCAGGAGGCTTAAGCCCCGCCTCAGCTCCCGGTTGACTGAAGTTTGTCAGAGTCAGCATTTCCAAAATGGCGACCAGCATGAGTAGGCTTCCAAAACAGCCCCTTCAGAAGCCGAAGGGTAACGTCACTCAGGCTACGTCCATGTTTATACAGTCAGTCTATGATTCAGTGTCTGCAGATCATTTCTCCTTATTCTCCTCAGCCCGAGAAACTCAAAGTCCTCCTCACTGCTCCTCACAGGGTTTCTCTTCACCACGATCCAGTCTTAAATAGAAAATGCCACGATTATAAAAAGTATTTGATGTAGTATGACAAAGCTTCATTGAAATGGGCCCAGGAATATGAATGTAATCAGAGTGTGTGTGTGTGTGTGTGTGTGTGTGTGTGTGTGTGTGTGTGTGTGTGTGTGTGTGTGTGTGTGTGTGTGTGTGTGTGTGTGTGTGTGTGTGTGTGTGTGTGTGTGTGTGTGTGTGTGTGTGTGTGTGTGTGTGTGTGTGTGTGTGTGTGTGTGTGTGTGTGTGTGTGTGTGTGTGTGTGTGTGTGTGTGTGTGTGTGTGTGTGTGTGTGTTGTCTCAGGTGGTGAGTGTGAGCGTTCTCCATGTTCCTGATGATAGATACAGCCTCTCTGCCCGGGTTCTGTTTCAGTACCTGCTCACCTCACAGGGGAACATGTACGAGTTAAAGGTACGTCTCAGACTGCATTAACGTGTTACTTCATTTAGAGAAAGGTTGGATGTAAAAACTGTAAGCTTTATCACAAAGGAAAGGTGAAAAACCTCCTCTTAAAGGGACAGCGTGTGTCTGCCTCCCAGACTCTGACTGGTAGATGATTCAAGGGAGAGGGACCTGACTCCTGAAGGCCCTACCTCCAATAGTTCATTTAGAGACTATAGGTACGACG